GCACCCGTCCACTCAGGTTCGTCATCCAACTACGTCAGCACCGGACAATGCGGTAAGAGGAACACGCACGGAATCACCGGAAGGATCAAGACACCGGCGTACGTGGACGGAGACAGCGAGTTCGGTGAGTGGCATTAAATATAACTACCTATTTTAAAGTTATTCTTCAACCGATACGTAGTACAAGTATTATAGCGTACATCTACCCAGAGTGTATATTATTATTATATATGACGAAATTATTAAAACTATTTTAACTCAACGGTTGTTGTCTTTGCGTGCAGGTGAATACCCGTGGCAAGTGGCCATCCTCAAGAAGGACCCACAGGAGAGTGTATACGTCTGCGGTGGTACCCTGATCGATTCTTTGCACGTGCTCACTGCCGCCCACTGCGTCAAGACGTGAGTTTTCAAAAACGTTGAATTATATTTATTCTGTCGGCCCGGTATCCATTCCGATTTCAATCATTGATTTTTGCCCATTTTTTCGTACACACAGGTACCAAGAACAAGACTTGCGCGTCCGTCTGGGCGAATGGGACGTAAATCACGATGTGGAATTCTACCCGTACGTAGAAACAGATGTGGCCAGCATGGTCATACATCGTGAATTCTACGCGGGCACGCTGTACAATGACCTGGCCATACTCCGAATGGACAAGCCCGTTGACTTTTCCCGGAACCCACACATTAGCCCGGCCTGCTTGCCGGACGCGTTCTCTGACTTCACCGGACAACGGTGCTGGACGACCGGCTGGGGCAAGGACGCATTTGGCGATTACGGAAAATACCAGAACATCCTCAAGGTGAGTCTTGCAAAATTGTGAAAAAAAATCGAAGTTCTAATCTCAGTATTAATCCATCGATGCGAGTTAATGAGTTTATTTTTAACAACTTCTTTTCGGGAAGAAAGTTGTGTTTTTAATATAAACAATATTATTAAAATGTATACTTATATAATAAGTAATTAGAAAAAACGGAGGAAATCCTTATTACTAGTTACAAGTACACTCCGATCGACTTAGAAAACAGGATTTTCAGTTCTTTAATACAATAATTTAGAAAATACCATTACATTTAGTAATGAACATTATGATTGTAATATTAAAGCGGGAAACGATGATTTTCGCAGAAAATTATTTTTGCAATTTATTAAAAAAATAAAACTATAACTGGTTTTTATTCACAAATGACAACACCGATAATCATGAGCGTGTATGGCGATTACGTCAAAGTGGAATTAATTACTATAACACCGGTGAACCAATTTTTGTTTTTTTTTTTTTTTTCGTGCATAGGAAGTGGACGTTCCAGTGATTTCTAACCGCCAGTGCGAAACGCAATTGCAGCAGACCCGCCTTGGGTACGACTTCAAGTTGCACAACGGTTTCTTATGTGCAGGTGGCGAAGAAGGAAAAGACGCTTGTAAGGTACGTCGATAGAAAAACGTATTATAATATATTATATTAAGTACACACTAGTACCTATATCACATTATTACCTACAATAATACGGATATCAGCCTTAATTTGAAGAATGTAAAGAACAAATACGAGCTAGCGTGTTTGTTTAAACACTCGGTACATCAATGTCCACGGATCCCCGATGAGATTTTCAATAAAAACCATTTCGAACAGTATAAAATATAAGATAGGTAAAAATAGGTAAAGCCTTCGGTCATGCTACTCGACGTTGCACAAGCTAACATGCTGAAAGAACATTTCATGTAAATGTAAGCCGAACATTTCACGTAAATGTAAGCCGAACATTATCGATACCTATTTCCTAATGACCTTTTTTCTGTGGCTTATCGTGTCTTGTAAATATGATCTCACTAAATTCAACCAATGTTAAAATTATATTTAAAAACTAAAACATATTACCATTTGGTGACTCCTACACTAGTTGGTGGTTCAGCTAGTGTTTTACAAAGACTCGTATTCAGTCACTTGAATTCATCTCATCAACGACTATATTTTGCTATACGTTTACAGGGTGACGGTGGTGGTCCATTGGTCTGCGAGCGTGCCGGTTCGTGGTACTTGGTCGGAATCGTCAGTTGGGGAGTGGGATGCGGTCAGCCCGGAGTGCCCGGCGTCTATGTCAAGGTGTCCCACTACTTGGACTGGCTCAGACAAATCACCAACAAATACTAGAACGAAAGATGAATCCAAGCGGATTATTATTTTTATTTTTAAATTATTTATTTTAAATGTATATTAGTATACTTACTATATTTTTTGGAATTTTCGTGGAGAACAAAGAAATTCGATAATTTTTTTAAACCATGTTAGATATTATACTCTATTAATATTTATTGATTGTAGAAAGATTCCTGTATAATATGCACGCTGTACGTGTATTGCGTAATATTGTATATTGTATACTATTGTCTTCGTGGTTTGTTTCGAACGACATTCGTATACTCGACAAGGTCAAAAAGACTGATAGGGTTGTTTTTAGGGCTTAACGGAGGAATCTGGAATTCTGGACAAGTAAAACATAAATTCATTTCATTTCATTCAAAGACATAACTAAATACTTATTATATGTTTCTTTAATATGATCCAGTATATTATACTTATGCGTGTTACTAAAATAATATGTTACCATTGATATTTCTATATAATATTATTATTTCACCACTTAAAACTATGTAAGTATTGTGCCACAGTGGTAGAATATAGGTAGGTAATTGTATTATGTATCTGTTTTTACACTAATTATGTACCAATGATGTTAAAAACGTTAAGTATTAATATTTAACATAGTAATATTATATTGTATTGTGTAAAAAATACATATAATAAACAAAACCTACATCCAATATTTGTATATAATAAATAATTTGTGCTCTTAACATATAGACAAAGTAAACGTTGTACCTATGCATCTTATTATAGAAATAAGTTTCTAATAATATTGTTCCATTTAAATTATTATTATTATTATAAAAGTTTGTATGGATCTAATAAAAATATATTTTTGTATTTGAAATTATAGCTGGTGGTTTTATTTTATTTTCTTACCTTCATTCATTAAATTATATCCGTAAAACAAGATATTACATTTTACGCATGGCTTCGTAAAGGTATGACTGAGTTTTTGTATGCCTCGTGCCCTTATTAGTTACAACTATGTTGCTACCTGTAGGCTAATGTCATTGAACCATTGAAGAATAATTATTATAATATATTCATTAATGATTAAATATTGTAAACATAATTTAAACTCAAACCATACCTCCTATTTCAGTATTACCACTATTACCTATAATAGTAAATTAGTTATACAAGATCTATCACAAAAGGATGTCAATTTTAACGTACATTAAAATTAAAAAGTCTTCCACAGGCCACTTTCGCATTGACCAAAACTTTAATTACCCTTATTTCATAGTTTAAATATAAAATCATTCGAAAACATTTAAGATGTAGGTAGAAATAATAATATTATATCCAAAGAATTTCAAAATTATAAAATAATAAAATATAAACAAAACTTATATTAATACTAACTATATTATAATATATATATATATATATATATATATATATTTAGAAAGTTTTGTTTTCTTAAACACGATTTAATTCAAAGAATTGAGTACGAACATAATAAGTACCAGTACCAAATACAACGTAATTTTATCTGAGAACTGATAACTTTTCACTTCAAAAATAATTTATGAAAACTTTATGTTGTTGTACATAATGTATAACAAGTTATGCATTAATTCTATACAATTTTGTTTCGTAATGTTATGTATAAAATAAAATTAGTTATTTACAAAACACCTGTTTATTCAATTGAGTGGTATAATATATTATAGGATTAAAACAATTCAATATTTCACCTAAGCAAAAATTATAACTTTCCAACAATCTCAAATAAAAACAAAAACTTGGCAAATAGCTATAGAAAATGTATATTCAATAGGCACTCTGATTAAATCCTAGCTAATAAATATATACTACGTTGAACATTTTATGCATTATTACAAATTTAAATAGAATTCATAGAATAATAAAACTATACAAAATACTCATTAACGATTTATCTATTTCCTACAAGCCAAGTATGTAATCAAGATATAGCCATATAAGGAGTGATTATAAAATGAACTACATATTATATATACTGGAGAATCCCGGACAGCGACGAGAAAACTTAAGCACAATTACCAGTGGCAATACGATAATGTTCCTATGGGCTAAGACTACAGACAGGTTCATAGCTCGTTTGCGTGTCTATTGTGCCTTTTATCGTATTCTGATTGGCCGTTGCAATCATGATATCATCCACTAACCATGATCTACTCGGGAAATTTCCAGATTTGGATCTAGCTTAACTATTGGACATGACACGACAGACGACGTAGCTGTGAAAGTGTGAACCCGGGTTAACCGACGGAAAATTTGGGTTACCCGCTGGTCAGTGCCGCAATATTATATGATAAATGACAATAATATAATAAGAACAGTGGTCGTGTCCCTGCTGAATTTGTACCACGGTTGCGCTTCAGTTGGGTCTTATAGCACGTCTTCCCCATATACTTAAAGACCGGCCAATCTTATACAAAATACATTGATAGACGCGTGTCGACAATCGACATAGTGCAGTGATGCAGCTCGTTCAGTATAAACATATATCTATATCTTTTTTTATCGTATCAGAGTAACTCAGTAACCGAAAATCGCCATCCATCTTGACACAGTGGAAACGTTGAGAGCTGGTCTATTAGTTAAAGGTGTAGTTACAATATTCACAGGGTTTCGGAAATGTTGTGCCGAAAACATAGTATCAAAGATGATGTGCCTTGAACACTCTCCTGTCATTTGACACTCATTCAATTATATTATAACAAATCGTGGTTGTTATATTGTATAGCTTGTAATTTATTATTCTATTTTTTACTCTTATACATTTATTGTTGACCGAAAATTAAGTGAAATAACAGTAATAATATTAATAATAATAGTAATAATAATAATGAAAATTCTTCATTTGCACCAAACGGTCGGCGCGTTACTTAAGTCCAATTCTCGACTCTTGGTCAGCTCCAGCTCGTGCGCCGGAGCCAAGTCCATGGCCCGCTGCAACTCCGGTCCGTAGACGTTGGCCTGGTCTGGCGCCAATGTCAAAGCCAACCTGAGCTCATCGACGGCCAAGTGTGCGGTATTTAGCTCGACCAGTGCCCTGCCTCGATTGTAATACGCCTCGGCTCGCCAGCCCACGTTCCCATCGACCGCCGGTACCATCAACTCCAACGCCTGTGCATGTGCGTAAATTGTATTTCTGTACTGCAAGGTAATTCGCCGAGCACCCCCCCCCCTTTTTATCATTATAATGCGTTTCTTCAAATTCTGCTTTTGGAAATTTTTAAACACCTATCTAGGTACCTATAGACAGGTTATATGTTTTTAAATACCTACTTAGAGGTCTTTTTTACCATTTAATAAATGTCCTCGGAAACCAGGCTGTGGTGATACAGACTTATTTTTTTCAAATTCTTTTCTAGCCTGTACATTTTTAAGCACATCATTTTTTTTAAGTATTAAATGTTAATGGTCTTTATTATTTTAGTACATCACATCGTTTAATAACTGAAAGAGTATACTTGTTCAAATTTTGATTTATATGCTTATTACCTACATTAACCTATTCATAAAAATGATCTCCTTAAAATCCTACATTGAAATCGGGTGGTCCTCATTTTAGAAAAAATAAATTAATACAGCCATGGAATGTATAAAATACATCATCTCTATAATTAATAGTTATACCGCCAATATTTTTATAAGAATGCAACATGTCAAGACAAATTTTTATTAAAAGTATAAGTAATTTGACGACAAGCAATGAGTTTTTTTATATTTATCGAATCGATAAATTAAATAGTTACGTATTGGTCGTAATATCCTAAAATACCCTCTTAGGTAGGTAGGAACTTATTTATATAATTATTAACTGTATAACCTGACTTCGCCCAGAAAAAAAATAAGTATAAAATACAGCACTAATAACGCTATTAAGGTGTATCTTAGTTTTACTAGGTACCTATATCTCAGTCCAAGGGACGATCGGAATCGGTGTACCTAACCTCGCTTTGTGAAATAATTTGACCTAGATAGGCAACCACAGTCCACAAGTCACGGATTGGATTTAGTACTTGGTATATTTTTAACGTGATTTAAACTACTCTCTAAACATTTCTGATATTTCTAAAAAAAATCTCTGAGATTTTCGTCAAGATCAATTAAGTATTTTTAGAATACATAAGCTACAAACATACATTTGGTTTGAAGATGGGTATTATAGTTTTTCTGATCGAGCCTCGAGGACCTAGGCCATGTAAACATGAACATTTGATGCATGATTTTACCTCACCTCCCCAAGTAATGCCAAATATTTATATATAAAACAAAATTTGAAATATCCATCGAGAATCTTAAAATCATCGTGTGGTCACCTTTTTAAAATGAGAAATTGTGGAAAATCCTTCCTTAGTGCACCCTTACACGATGGTGCGAAGGCACCATGACAATTTTAAGTCTCTAGCTATCATAGTTTAGGCTTTAAGTTGATCAGTCAGTCGGTCAGGACAAGTTGGATTATATATTTAAATATAATATTACTATAGATATTATACAATATTATATAAGACGTATCTTATTTAAAATTAAATTTATTACAATATATTGTTTACATACGGTTGTTGCATCTTCGACGGCTTTGTGATAGTTTTTTATTTGAATGTGGGCTTTAGATCTGTTCAAATACAATATAGCCATTTTTGGACTCAACTTTATCCCATGCGAATAAGCGCTTACAGCTCCAATGTAATTTAATTCTGTCATAAATGTACTGTCAAAAAAATAAATCAAATATTGAAACTTACATCACAAAATATTTAGACAATTTAGTATTTTAGTTGTTTTGTAAGTAGCAACTAATAAGTGGAAATAACTTACTAATTTAATATAATAATAATTTCGGTACCAATTATTTATATTTTGTCCACAAAAAAAAAATATTTATTAAGAGGTAGTTAATAAAAATTTGTACCTATTCATATTATGTTATTGTTTTTATTAACCCTTTCAGACCCGGATTTAATCGGATTAAGATAGCCAATTTTAGTAAAAAGCTTTTCTCGTTAGAATTTTATCAAGATCAATTTTCTGCAATAATAATTGTTTTTAGTTTTTAACTTTTATCAGAAAGAATATTAATAAAAACAAAAAAAAAATTTTTTCTATGTTTTGTAAAACAAAATTACGCATATTTGGGTGTTCTATGTGTAAAATTGATTGCAGTAGATAAAAATAAGCAAAATAAAGTATGTCCTCTGGGAAGGACATAGGGTCATAGATAATATAGATAATAAGATATGCATGGGGTCTGAAAGGGTTAAAATTAAAAAAAAATTTCAATAATATTTTGAATGAGGAATGACTTAGTCGTATCTAACTTTCTAAGTTATCCTGTGCCACTAATAATAAGTATAACAAGTTACTCACTTTCCTTTTTGTAAGCACCATTCCGGGTCATGTTCTTCTGGTCTCAAGTCTTCTTCCACAAACCCTGCAGCCCTTCTGGCGGCCGTCTGCTTTTGTAACCACTACAGTATATAGATAACAGATCGTAATATTGTATCATTGCACATCGATCGTACGTTATAAACATAATAATTAATAATACAACAATATTATTTCTATATACATCAAAAGTCTATGCATAAAGTTTTACCTCTTGCTCGTCAGCTTTTGTCGATTCTCTACTCGGAGTAGTAAAGTGTCTGGGTGTGAAATTAATCTCAATTGTTTTAAAAGTTCTAGGGCTTGGCAATTGATCTATATATTCAGTCGGTGTGTTTTCTATCTCGTAGATCTTAATTGGTTGATCCGTTGAAAAAATGTCTTTATTATTTTTCTCATTTATTCCTATAAAATACACTCAAAAATTGTATATTAAATATTAAGACGTACTAACACGTGCTACCCACATGTGTTGTCTCCGTTGCACATAATGTACAACATATAGCCAAAAACTGTTTTGCTGGTAGCAACTTTACACTTTGTATATTTATAGTAAAATTATCAAAATTCCACAACACATAGATAAGAACTTTAACTGTGGCGTAGCTTTTAATTTTTTGATAACACTAGGTAACCAATCATAGTTAAACTAGGCTACCCGTCACAGCTTCGGCCGTAATTGGTTGTTTATTTTTCCTCCGGACGATGAGAAAATGTAATGACATTACTGCTGCGTTACTGAAAAAGTAATTGCGAAAAAATTTCAGGAAAATCAGCTCAGTAGTTTTCTCGGTTAGATAGGTCGAAGAAAACCCTTACAATTTTATATACCTAATAGTATAGATATAGATGAAAAACAAAAACAAAAAACCTTATGTTCTCAAATTGATTACTTTAATTGTATTTATGTTATCCAAAAAAATGAAAGCACTAAGTCACAGACAAAGATCTTCCCAGTGCGTTGTGGAATTTTGGTAATTCTACTATAAATACAGAGGGAGTAAAATTGTTACTCTCAAAATAGTTGTTGGGTATGTTGTACATTTGTAAGACGGAGACACACATGCGGATAGCACGTCCTCTTAAATAAATATCAAACGACCTTAACGAGTGCGTTCTATCATTGCATAGAACTGTATTCATGTTTATTTACTCCTTCTTTTCATAGTAAATATTTTTTAACAACCAATTTACTTATAAAATCACATTCTATTTAGGTTATATTTATTTAAAATTGAATACAAAATATTTTATATAACGTATAAAAAGTACCCTTAGATCCATTGGCACAACCAAATTGGCTTGTAACCACTCTCCAAAAATAAATTATGATTGCAATTTGTATGTAATTTTTAATATACAATATATACCAAGAGTGGCTTAACAGTCAAACAATTCAAACCTCCTCCCATTTTTGTTAGACTATATTATCATAATACATTTAGTAACCCCCTTAATAAACTACAAATTACAATGATCGTTGTCGGCCATTATAGTTGTATGTATTTTAATGGCTCCTCAAAGGAAAAATATATTCTGTTTATACTGTTATCAATACTTATCATACACAACCAACATAATATATAAATATCATAAAATTGTTATTATTTATCATAAACATAATTTTCATACTTTTATCGTATATAATTTCTGTTTTTGATTTCCACGTACTCAATTCTTTCAAAACTTTTTCTTTCTCTTCGTCACGAATACTTTGAATAAGTTGGTGTTCTTTGTTTTCGAAATTTATTTGTTCCTTGACAGCTAATCGGTCTCGTTCGGTTTTTACGACTAATACATTATAAAATCATCAATAGTTATTTTTATTTGTCGATCTTAAACATGGACAATTATAATTTTGTAGAGGGATTACGGTTGGTTGAGGAACACGTGCATGTGGGCGAGAATTTTTCACTAAAAACCCGAGTGGAATTAGCAACGCCAGCCGATGCTTGACCTTAAAAAACGTTAGTGACTGAGGTCAACCACCGAGCCACACAAGGCCCCCAATCAATAGTGGATAAATATTGCCAACAACAGATGGAAGATTGTGTATTTTTTATTTTAGATTTTGTTTTTATTTGAATTGTACAATATTTAATGATTAATTTTGTTTTACAGTAAAAACAAAATTTGATTATTAAAAAGACAATATCAATAAAATAATTAACTGAGTAATTTAATGTTTTTTAAATATAAAGAAACGGTTCTATAATTTCAGTAATATTGAATAATGGAATAGATTTAATAATAATAATAATAGCCAATACATGTATATTTGCTTTTTAGCTTTTGGACTTGGGTTATTATATATTTATACCTACTGAATTGCTATTAATTAGGTATATCGTATAGATAATATTGTAATAAGTAATAACTTTTCAATGATAATTTATTATTAATTAAATATTAGGTATTAAAATAAATAACGAGCATTTTTGATTTATCTGATTATTATTTATGTTATGATCTAATGTTGTGATTTTCTGGATTTTTATTAAAAATGACTTCTCAAACTTATTGATCTGGAACAAGCCGAATCTCAAGAAATTCGAACAGTTCAAAGTTCGTTGAAAATGATTAATTAATACTTTAAAATATAGAGTCTAAATCAAATACTTCAAACTCAAATACTTTAAACTGTTTGAAAAAATCAAGTTCGATATCAATACTATTATTCTTAAATATAATTTATCTAGAATCTAGAATTTTTATTTGGGGTAGCCCATTTTTTTTCCAAGTTTTACGACACGAATATTTAAAAAAGGCCCAATTTGTTAACTTAGTTGCTGGGCCACTGTATTCCGCTACTGTTATAAAATAGAAATAGCTGTACCCTAAAATACTGTTTTGATTTCACGAATTTTCCGTACACCCCTTATCAATTAAAACAAGATATAGTTGTGTTTATTTATAAACTAAATGTCTAGTTCAAAAGTTCAAAATGTTTTAAATATTTAAAATGTTTCGAGTAGGTATGTAATGGATTGGAGTTCGAGTATGATCTCAAATAGTTCAAGAAAAAAATGAAGTTTGAATATTCGTGTTTGAGTTTGTGAAAATATGAATTTGACCCATCCTCATTTTTTATAATATAGGTACCTAAATAGTACCTAACAGTATACAAAGCTACGATCCAGTAGACTTATTATGCTATCGTCTCTGCAATGTACAATATTGAATAGCATATATACTAAAATAAACGTTTATATTATTCAAAGTAATAAACATGCAACTTCTACGTCTACCAAATTTATATTACAATTAATTGTACAAAACATATTATTGTAACACATACCAGCCTTATGCTGGGATTTATTCTGGCGTTCTTCAATGATTTTATTCAAAATTTCATATTTTATCTTTTTCAACTCCTCTTTCGATTTTTTTAGTGTCAGACATTCCCAATGAACACTGTTCTTTTTTTGTAACTCAAATAAAACACATCCATTATCAAAAGTACACTTACTACATTCTTCGTTTATTTCATCCCAAAGAATTGCTTCAAAAATATGCGGTAAACAGCTAATCTACATGCATAACAAATATACATAATGATTAGATACTGCATGGGTTCTTATTACATTAACAGTAAACAATTATTATCTTAGAAAGTATTAAAATTTAAAAAATATTTTTTTTTTACATTTATTTAAATCATTACAAAACATTTTTAATATTTTTTATCATTACCTATTATTTTCTAAGATTTTAAATTACAAAATACGTTTTTAATTTCATATAGGTATCACAGAATAATATTTTTTCTTCTTATTTGGATGTATAAGAATTTAATTTTGAATGAGTAGTTAATTATTTGTAAGTAGAGACCAGATTTTTATATTTTTGAATACCTACATTAAGTGGATGAAGTAAATGTCAGTGAAAAATGAAGACGATTCATTCGGGTCACATGAAAAAGTATTATTGCATATTTGAAAATATTTCAGGGGTTAGTATATTTTGTTTCTTCCGCATAATATTATCTCAACAAAAACCCTTCGTAAGCTATGTGTAAAAATGGCTAAGTAAAAAAATATAAGATCTTTAAGCACTATAAAGATGGAATAAATGCTAAATATATTGAATTTAAGTAAATTTTGTAGTTAATAATTTATAAAATGTTCAACTTTTATATCTAAGAATTGAAAATTTAAAACAAGATTCCACGTAAGTAGTTAATTCTGTTACCAAAAAATCTAAAAACTACATTAGCACAGTTTATTTTTATAGTCATTTTAAGTTCAAATTTGGACGAAATTACATATTAAAAACCTATAGTAACCTTTTTTAGTTATTTTGTTGTGATTGTATAATATGATTCGTGGGTACACGACATAGCAAAAAAAAATCTACATGACTACCATACAGTTCACCAAGAGAGCTCCGCGTATTTTAGTTTTTGAGATGTAGCGAACAGTATTTGGCATTTATAATAATAATAATGTACTATATTAATTTACGTTTAGAATCCAAGAATTTAGCAAGCTAGCAGAGTGAGCTTTCCTAACTTGCCCTTGTTAAAATTTAAAATGTATACCTATACTAAAGTATATTTTCATTTTCATTTGATTATTTTTGCTTATTTTTCTAATTTTTAAGAGAATATTTGTATGTTTTTTTACCGTATTAGCATCATATTTTGACCATATATCGGGACGCTGGTTATAAATAGGTAAGTATATATTTAGAGTTTACATGATCGGAATCTGGCAGGGTGCAAACCGCATGTATATCTCCAATTTGTCAAATTTAAACATTTAATACTTTAAATGAGTACATGAATACGGAATAACTAATTCACTACTCATTAGAAATTTGATTATTATAAATCGAATTCTCGAAAAAAAAATAATGTACTTTTTTTATATCACAATTTTTTTAATACATCCTGTCATTCAAGTGAAATTAATAGTAAAAAATATAATTTTTAAGTAACGGCTTTGCATATTCAAAAATTATTATCAAAAATGATACCTACTTTTAGAGATAATGAGTGTTTGCTGTTAACATAAACGTCCTGTATACTCTGCAGGTATATAAAAATATACAGAATGTATCAGAAAAAACCGACAGATATAATTAACTAAATATTTGATAATTTTAATTCTTATCAATTTTTTAAAACATTTTATATTATGGTATATTATTTTTTAAATAATGTAATATTGATTAAAACGAAAGCTTTTTGCATAATTAATTTGAATTATATTTTTCAGCTATTTCTATTATATACTTTATATTTAATAATGTAATTATATTAATATTATATACCTATAATAATAATACTAAGATGCGCTGTGTAATTACCCACGATTTTATCTAGTACCATATAAATACTGGAGTTGCACTTACTTTTAAATATTTACTAGATGTAAGAATATCAGCATTTTTCTGAGATATGTGTGGAATTTGAATTTGTATAAACAATTTACAATCGGTTTGCCACCAAGAAAAGTCTTTCACGATAATAGGCATTATTTTGAATTTAATTTGGGCTTATTGATTTTATCTAAACACATACGATGTCTACTTACATGATCTTTAAAAAAAAAATAATTTAAATCGTCAAGCAATTGTTTGTTACCATGGTGTCGACAAATATGGCAGTGATGCCCGTATAACAAATAAAATAAATGATATGAAACACTCATAGTACCTACGTCTTACACTATAATATAATAATGACGTTGTTACGTTTTGTTATTACTTTTAGTAATGGTGTTTAGAGATGATGTAGAGGAATTAATTATTAATTATAGCTTTCAATAAAAACAGCAAAGATAAGATTGCACATTTAGTCATTAATTTCGATAGATATATTTTGTTGTATACTTTTTTCCTAAAGTTCAAATGCCTTTATTAAATAATACCTAGTTATAATGAATATCAAATATTTAAACTTACAGTTAACATATTATAAATATTTATACCTAATATTAAACATTTAAACTCAATAATACACTGGTATTTTAACAATCATCGATTATAAAATAAATATACTATAGGTATACCTGAAGAATATTACATTTTTGAAATAATTAATGAAATAAGTTTTGATTAATCACAAGAATGCAGCCATAATTAAATTGGACCCCGATCGGAACCTTTAAACTAATCGAAACAATTACATAGTACATGACGACCATTATCACTAATATTAGGTATGTGACTTCTAAATATACTATATACAAAATTATACTATATACAACTAAATACGTAATTGCATTATGTTGTTAAATCATTTGTTAACTGAGGTCAACAAGTCAACTGCATATTTCACTGTTCCGGGGGCTAATGTTACTCCGTATCCTCCGTGCCCATAATTGTGTACAATCTAAACAAATTTAAATATAACTATATAAGTGAATCCGGTATTATTATAATATGTACCTACATCCTAACGGTTCATCTCAAGTTAAAAATGATCGGTATTTATAAGATAATGTATTTTAAATTTGAGAACTTACCCATAGGCGCAATTTCAACTTTTGACTTGGGGGGGCTGAATATATTAAAGTCAAGCAGACTATTGCAATACAGCATATTAAAATTGTATGTCCTAGGTTTTTGGGGGGGGGCTATGGCTAAGTTTGTGGAGGCAACCCCCCCTCCTCAATTTTCACCTATGAACTTACCACAGTATCATTTATGTATTCGGTTTCTACACGAATTTTGTTCCGATAAGGTCTAAGCCCGACCCAAACTTTATAGTCAGTTTTTAACGCTTTTTTCAATGATGGCAATACACTGATACAATTTTCCAGTATTTCTTCTGTGTTACGTTTATTCTCCTGCTCGTTATGACTGCCAAAATGTCTACATCCACCTAGTACGACAGTCCCGTCGCTTATTGACGGAATTATATATGTGTCGGAATCGCGATAGTAAAATTTGTCAACCCAAGGAGCTTTGACCTACAACATAATGATAACAATTTTAAATGTTGAAATACCTTTTATTCGATTTTAAGATTGAGTATCATGCTACATTTAAACTTTAAAGTGAAACATTTTACTGAATAATGTGTAGGCACATAAGAATAAAAAAGGTTATTGAAAAACATTTTATTTTTAGAACTATAGCTGATAGAGTTACAATTATAAATATGGCACTTCAGTAATATATTTAAATGCAATTCGAGAATTTTTATGTAATAAACTATTTTGAGTATAAACTTTAAATGTGTTGTAAAATTGCAATAAAAATATTTTACCCGAATTACTTGTCCACGAATAGGCAATACATTTACATCATTACATAATTTTCCGGCTCTGAACCCAGTGCAGTTAAAAATAATATCATATTCTCCACATAGTTCTTCAAGAGATTCGATTTTTCGGTTAATAATAGTTCCGCCATTATTACTAATTCTATAAGAAAAATATAGCAATTTCATATTCGAATAATAATAAGTAACAAAAAAATAAAAAATATGATTTTTGAAATTCAATTGGTTGTGAAACTTTATGAATGACAATATCTGATATACTTCAAGTTTTTATAGGGTAAATAATTAGGTATATATTAAAATATAAAAAGTATAAGGTATAAAGTAAATACATACTTTTTTAAGGCCCACGGTAAGAATAGTTTACATTCAATGACTATCGATGTAAAGAAGCAACCATAGTTTAGTTTAGGTTGATTCTCAGCAGACGAATACGCTTTTAATTCCTCATCTGTAGCTTCTCTGAAGTCTGGTGAACAATTGTTCATGTAATGGTTCTAACATTAATGCATACATAATAGGTAAGTACATATCAAATATATAAATTAACTTTCAAACGTTGTCTTTATTTCATAAGTTTAGACGAATGTTAATTGATCTTGAATCATTGTTATAGGAATATGATAATTTATAATGAGTTATTATTACTTACTTTTGTAATATCTGGATTCTTAGTCGAAAATGTGTAACCAGAAACTTCATTTATGCCACATGGATCATCCCTATTTTTTAACAGGTTTTTATAAAAACTATAAGAGTCGTTGACCCATCGCCTATAAAAAAAAAATTCAATTATATAGTCGAGTAAGTTATAAGAACTGTTTCGATCACATTTATAAAAGAATTAAAATCAATTTAAACTTAAATAAACCTACTCGCCTACCCTACCTTATAATACCTACCTCGCTTTTAAAATATTATGTTATTAGTTATTACTAGTTATAAATGTTTAGGTATGTAATATTATGAGTGGCCCCTTGTATAATAACGTAGTCTTCAATAAAATATATCAATGATTAAAACTGTAATAATTCTAATAAAATAAATATAAATTATCATAATTATAAGTAAAATATCTTAGTAAAATAAAAACTTAAGTTTTTTTATAAATTAAAATTTTATTGCTCAATCTATGGAAAAGGTACCTTGTCTTATGTACCAGAACAATATTAATTTACCTTATCATCAAACCTAAACATTATCTGTAGTCTATACTGACTGTACTTATCAGGGCTTCAAATAGAAATGATTTTTTGTGGTCATTGGTTTTAGTTCTTCTTTGATTTTTTTCGGTTTAAAAAACTGGTTAATATTGATCCTACATTTTATGGTTATTAAAAACTGGTTAATTTTTTTTAATAATATGTATCTACTAGGTATCTACTACTATAACAAAAAAAATACAACTATACTCTGTTCAGGTTAAGAGTGCCCAGTCGCTGGGACGAAAACTAGTACCATTGATTATAGAATAGTCTATTCTATAATCAATGCTTGTACTGTTCGCGCATGCATCTTGCTACGCGGCTAAGTATTCATCCTCGAATTTGGGCACTCTTAACCTGAATAGAGTATACATATAAAATTAACTTTATTTTATAATTCTTATGTTTTAATGTAATAAAATCATGAAGGCTAGATATATCTCTAGACTATCTCTAGTCTTAATGCATAAAAGTATAAAACACTGTTACCAACAATCTCATGCACGGTCTTAGATTATCAAATTATCGCTTACTATATATACTTAATCAGCATTAAAGGCGGCAAACTGTATACAAGTGGTAGAAAACCACCAAGATTATCCATTAACGTCATCCCCAAGTGCTAACTTTTTTATTTCCTATAGCCAATGGCAACCCTATATACATATATATACCTAATAATTACCTATATATATTATGTATATAACGAATATGTGTACAAAATGTGGTTCCAATTGGTCAAAAACTGCATAAGGAACATCTATCTAGCCCTTTGATTTTATATAATAGATAATATAATTATGGAAAGTAAACTCACTGAGAGATTTCTAAGCTAGGGCCGAAAATGTAAGTGTCCGGCCGCAACAATCCGGCGGCGCCGTCACTGAGTGTGTCTCCGTTGAACTTGTCCGCGATCAGCGTCACGTCGTAATTCGGATATCTCCTCTGAACTTCCATCGCCGAATTCACACCAACAATACCCGCACCGACAATGACCACTCTTTTACGCGGTGATGTCGCCATTTAGCGGTTTTCTTTTCTAGATAATATATAAAAACAAAATGTTTTCGTTCAACAAACAAACGTAAATTCAACAGAAACGCAAAGATTACAACACCGCACAAAGCATGAGAGTGTACTGTGCTACGAGCTGTAATTATAATCCATTGAACCGATATAACACTTCGATTTATACGATTAACAATAATTAAAATACAATGTGATGTATTATAAATGCGTATAATTCGACCGTATCATAATCGATAAATTTAATCATAATAATATGTAATTAGGCACCTAACAGTTATATATTATACCTACAGCTTGACTAATTTATAAACTTACTATATACTTACTTAATATTTGAACATTTTGCGCCCCGGGGCCACAAATATTTTCACCCAAAAAGTTATTTCTTAAAATGTAAGGTACCTAGGTACCTATTATTTTGGGTCATAACTTATGACTCATAAATGTGGTTGGATTTTGAAATTTTTTTTTAGAAACCTTAGTTTTTCAATGAGCTAAGAACAATTATTAGTGATGCAAACAGAATTTGTCAGTCAGACTTAGTTTCAAAGTTATACACGAGTTTGCGAATTCCCATCCAGCAGGGGTTTTTTTTTTATTAATTTCTTCACTAACAGTATAATATACAGTTAGTACAATAGATAATTTCTGATTTACAAAAACTATAAGGATAAAAAAACACACATTTTGAAAAAAAAATTCAAGAAAATCAATTTCCAGCTAAACTCCATTCCTTCCAATATTTCATATTTTCATTTATTAATTATTTCTTAAATCTCTAGGAAAATCAATGTTAAATAAACATATTATAGCTTTTATAAAAAAAAGTATACTGGATAGTGTATACTTAAGTATAATAAAAATGAGTACAATATTACAATGATTTCTTTCTAAGCTTTTAATTTTTTATCTTATTGTAAAAAAAATTATTGCACATATTAATTTGAAAGAACCTAGTACCTTTGGAATCCGAGTAGTTATGGTTTATACTCATATTATAAAAATAAATTATAAACTGAAAAAAATGTAACTGTTATTTATTTTAATTGCATTTTTTCTGATTTTAATTTTATTAATAATCAAGACATATAGGTATTAGGTACGTGAAAGTAAAATAAACATTATTATTATTATGTTGTGTTTTACTTATTTACAACAACGCTAACTATGGGCTGCTATCATACCGTTATCAGTTATACAAGGAGTTATTATTGTTAGTATAAAAATAGATTTGAGAGAATATCATCCTAAAATAAACTTAAGAGAAAGCTAAGTTATTTCAATTGTAAATTAAACTATTTAAGTTCATAAGTTGATTAGAAAATAAACTAACTAGTTAAGTTAAAAAGTTAAAAAAATTAACTTTTTAACTGAACTTTAACTTTTCAACTAGTTAATGCCCACCTTTGAATTTTATAATCACTTATATTCACTTGTGCAATTTACAATGTTGATTGTTATACTACACTGTTATTACACACGCAGAAACGCAGAATGTATGATTTATAATAAAATCTAGGTACTAATTTGTGAAAATAGTTATATATATTTTCTTTCTGTAATGTACGAGTGTTCCCAGAATAATGAAATCGGTGTTCAAATATAAACAAAATAAATATGATCCCAATAATAATATTTAAAAAAATAAGTAGGAACCTTTAATTAATAAGTATTAAACATATTTAAGGTATGTGGTTAATTATAAGCTAAAAATGCGAAGTCGAGATTTTTTGGTGGGAGGGTGAGGGGCGTCAAATATTGTTGCCCTAGGGCGTTATTGGTGGTTAGAGCGGCACTATTACTACACATGTCTTTGTTGTCTCTCCGTACGACATATTAATCACAGATAATGTTCTTAACTAAAAGTTTAATAATAGGTCAATGCACTCTAATATAAAAACTCACAGCACACTATTGTAACTATAGTGAACGAATATTTAATATGTCACTCGTATGTAAAACCGATAACAAAAGGATGGGTAACGTCCAGATATAATTTAAATAAAATAAAATAAAATCGTTTAAAATGTAATTTAAGAAATAAATTTATATTTTCAATATGCTAAAATATTTTTAAGAAAATAAAATTTCTCAGACTCATTAAATTTATGTTTAATCATTAAACCGAATTAAAGATATTTTTTTATTGATATCACTATCAAGCTAGTTGTCCAAATTACTCTATAATAATAGTGATAAATATCTAACCTTAGATTATCAAAAATAGTTCGTAGGATTAAAACAAATAAAATAAAATAGATACTTGGTGTGAACTGTGAAGATAATTTTTAAGACAATATTAGACTAATATTAATTATTATTTTTTTTTCTTAACTCCAAATAAGATTTAGAGGATTTTCAATTAATTAATCGATTAATTGAATATATGTATTTTTTTTTAAATAGGTGAACGGTGAACATACTATCTTAATGCTTATACATTATTTAAATTCAAATTGGATCGATAAAAACCAACGAATGTTAATAGTGACTTCTTGTATACCTACTAGATATTTAGTATTTACTTTCTTATAAACAATTATTTTGTATAAACCTAGGTTACAACTTAACACTTAGGTATATTAATAGATTATGAACTACAATTTTTTTTTATTTTTTTGGGGTTTATTGGACCTTTAAGACCATCCCGTCTCACAACCAAGCTTCCATCCTTCTCTATCCAATTATGAACTACAATTAAGTAAATTAATTTAATTTTGTATAATTATAATTAGGAATTCACCGTAGAACTGTTGTAGAAGTTCTTCCTCTCACTGACTAATATAAAATGACTAAATGCTGAAATAGGAGTATCTACCTACCTATAAATATGACGATTGACGGGACTACGGGAGTCTTTAAAATATAATAAATTTAGAATCCTAATTTTAACTTGAACGTGCGGCTAATATTCAGTAATAAATAATAATGATCGATTTTCAAAACTACTATGTTGATAATTGACTTCAGTGCTGAGATGGTTGCACAAAACACGATTTCCACCAGTCACATAAATTAAATTTACACTAGCGTGTCGACGCTTAATAATGATATAAAATAAAAACCAAAAAAATTACAAAGCATAAACGTTTATTAATGTTAATGTATATACGATTAACGGTTTTATAGCAATATTTATATATGTTTTATATAGCCGGACACAAACTCTTGGAGCGAACTCGGGATGATCGTGCACGGTGACTTACTACACTGGCGCCATAAACGTGATAAGTGAGGGGGCAAACTAAACAAACTTTCAAATTGGTGCCCAAAGTTCCAAACACTCCTAAAAAAACTACCTATACACCTAATTATGGTGTATGTCGCTGTTAGCACAACAGCAAACCATTCGCCGAGCGAATCTCTTCACTCGGCTCCATAGTGAGCGACGTTTAGGTCTGGCGGCTGTTACTGTAGTTTCCAATTCTGCAGCATCTCCACGGCCGCAAAGGGATACAATTTCCTGTAAACTGGCGGTCTCCAGGTCCAAAGGTTTTGTCAAACCATTTTTCGACTCTGCATCCCCAATTGACTGTGGTGCCACTTTCTGTATTTGACTTAACCGTTGAGGGTCGGATTGACCGGCTTAACCAGTGGGAAAGTTGTCGAGACGGACAACATCGTGTCGATGTCGATAAGTTCTGCAGCGACGGGTGTCATTACTGCACTGTTAGTTGTTTCCGCATACAATGAATCCAGCGAAACGGTAATTTCCGTGGACGGCATTGCATCAGGTGCATCAACTCCGGCATTTGTTAGGAATGCCATATCGGGCATCGATTTACTTAGTCTTTGAGCCTTTGAAATCTTGATACTACTAACGTCGACCGCTATCTGACGATTTTCACGTAGATCACTGAAAACTTGCATCATCAAAGCGGTTGAGGACTGCAAATCGATCTGAACGTCTTCGCTAGCGGAAATTGACTGCTTTGGCATGTTGGGTAACGATTTATATCGTCGATGCAGTTTTAAACTGGTGAGATCATTGTCTTGAAACCTTTTAGGGCGATTTTGCCGGAGATCGTCAAACACCTGTTTCATTATTTCAGCAGAGGACTGTATTTGGGCTTCGGACGAATTATTCACTTCTGTGATATAAGACATAATGATAATCTAATATAGAATAAGGTCAATATATAAGACAAGTTTACACTGTGTTATAATGTCACTATGTTATGATCAGTGAATGATGTAAAAATATATTTACTGACTTAATAAGAACTAAACAGTTACGCTGCCCATAGTTACAATATTTGTAATGTTTTTTTAAAACCGGCCAGTGAGGCCCATTATTTTTTTTGAAAGAATAAATAAAAAAAAATAGAGTGTGTTTGTAGTACCTTCGTGCAGGGGAAGTAAAACTTTTTTGCAGTTGATCGTATGAGTTGTGATGTGTAATAAAATATTAAATAGGATATTTGTACTTATTCGGCATCTGTATAAAATTTTGTACATCTATAATATTATGTAAGTATTGTATATTAATTGTATTTAATTATGTATCGCTGTACACTGTTTGAATGTATAGACATTCCATAATATGTGGTTTTACACATTATAATAATTCACGTGATAATAATATAAATACTAATTTAATAATAATTATTTCAATATTTAAAAAGCTTATTCGTCGTAATGAGTAAAATTATAATTACAGTAAACTCAATTTGTGAATAAATAATATTATAATATTATGTGTGTTATGCCTATGTACATATTTATTTAAATTAGCAGGGTAATATAACTATAGACTCACTCGGGCGACTAAGTCCGAAAATACAAAATATTCTATTAAATTGTCATTTATAATTTATATAATGTTTTCAAGAAGTAATAAGTATACATTACAAGGTATGATACAAACTAGTACCTAGCTAGTAGCTACAGTACCTACTGTTGGGTTCACTAATAAGACGTTTGAGAATTATTCTCTTATCTTTGATGTGCAGATAAAGCCGGGTTCATACTTGAACCACACGGTCAAAAGTTGAATATATTCAACTAGGTATGCGGTATCGTTTGGTAACTGAGGTAACTGTGATTATATTACACGACAGTACGACACGGTGTAGTGTGAACCCGCCTTTACAGTAAATAGGCGCAATTAGGGGGGGGGGCTTGGGGGGCTCAGCTCCCCCAGTTTTATCCATAGCCCCCCAGTTTTATCCATAGCCCCCCCAGTTTTTATACGATTTTACTTGAAGCTTATTAAAATTATTATAAAAATTTCAAGTATCTAGGATTATTCGTTTTTAAATTACGACAAAATATCAAAAATTGATAGATGAAAATTCTTTAATTTACTGATAAAAATTGAAAATTGAATGTTGTACAGATTTTAGATTCAAACACTCATAAAAAATGTATGTTACTTTCCAGTAAACTTTTTTTTTGTTTAAGATAGTACCAATTGTGAGGAGTCTTTTATCAGCATTTATAATGTTAGCTATGAAAGGAAAAACTTATATACATTTTTAACTGAAAATTTAAAAAAAAATTTGAAGAATTCTAAATTCTAATATTTTATATACCTATAATCATTACAAACAATAATTTGTGTTTCTGCTAAAAACGAAGAAATAAAAAAAAAATATTAAGTAAAGCTAAAAAAAACTAGCACCCCCCCTAGTTGCGCCTATGATGTATGGGACAAGAAAGATTTAGTTATTTATCTATTTTATGTATAGAAAGAGACATTGCTAATTTAATCGACACTCAGCTCATTGTTGATAAATTTTCACAAAAGGATAGGCGTATTACTTTAATATAAAATAGGTAATGATACTGTTAATATGTTATGTGTTATGGGTTTGTAGGTACTTATGTAATTTATTATAATGATATCCTCATGGGGATATCCTCAGGGGTAGAACATTTTTTGATTACACATGACACTTGTAAATATTTTTAGCCCCCTCAGATTTTGGACCCTAGTTGCGCCTATGCTTTTACTATAGTTTACGGTTGAAACTTGATAAATATTTTTTTGAAAAAGTAAGAACAATACGGGCAATGGGGGGGGTGGCTTCAGCCCGTTAGTCCCCCCCCCTGGGGACGCCACCGAGTTGCCTATATTCTTTAGTATATTATGATCTAAGAATTTAGTATTTACCCATCGATGATCGATGGCCTTGCCCATGAAACATGAACTATTTATCTTTAAACGTGATCATCGTGATTCATATTTCATGACTAAAATTTTGTCATGGTGATCATGACGACGACGTCTGTTGTTAATCAGTGTTCCCCAAGTTTGTAAAATGGAAATCCCTCGAGCCCAGGAAATTTCGACTTTTCATGACACGGTCAGTATTCAAGCGATAAATTACAATTTGCAATTTATTGAGATAAATAAATTCTGTAACTGAAATCCAACAATTAATCCTACATTTTAAAATTTAAATGTTCTCAACTTTACCAATGTTTGAAAAATGTGTATTCTATAAAATGCATAATTGTCACACTGTAAATGCTTTGAAATAAACAAACTTCTTAAATTATTATCTACAACCACGGACTAAGATATAGTATATCTTAGTCCGTGTCTACAACTAGAAATACAAGAACTGATAATAATATTATTTTTTACTTTTCCAGGTTTGTATTACATTTACACACGATTTTAAATTTTACTGGTATAGTAGTAGAATAATAATTTAACTTCCAAAATATCCAACAGTAGATCATTCCGCATTCAATTATACTTTACTTTTCGAAAATGACTGACCAAAATATTTTAGATAAATCTATGAGGAGTGTTTTCGGTAAGTGTTTTTTTTTTTTTGTTGATATTCATGTAATTCTGTGTGCAACATATCTTATTTGACCACTTCGTTTTTTTCTCCTTTTAGTGGGAAACATTCCGTACGAGGCCACTGAAGAAAAGTTGAAAGATATATTTAGTGAAGTAGGACCAGTCATATCATTCAAGTATAATACATTAAAAAATCTTTTTATAGTTCATTATTATTATTATTGACTTTTTACCTAACCATTTTAGGCTGGTATATGACCGAGAAACGGGTAAACCCAAAGGTTATGGATTCTGCGAGTACAAAGATCAAGAAACTGCGCTTAGCGCTATGCGAAATCTTAACGGATATGAAATTGGTGGACGTACTCTACGCGTTGACAACGCTTGTACCGAAAAGTCTAGACTTGAAATGCAGTGTAACCACTTATTAAATAACCAAATTGTAAGTATCAAAATGTATAATTGATTATGTATTGCAGCTTTAATGATGGGAATGCCTACTTCAGAAAATCATTATGGTGAAGCTGTAAGTGCAGAAAAAGCGCCAGAAGCCATAAGCACTGCGGTTGCATCTTTACCACCAGAACAAATGTATGAGCTCATGAAACAAATGAAAGCATGCATTCAGGTAACACTAACAAATTATTCTACCTACTTCAAAAAAAAAAAAAAAAATATTAAATAACTATAATACTTATAACTTGTTAACATATTGTATAGAATAATCCAACTGAAGCTAGAAACATGTTGCTTCAGAATCCTCAGCTTGGATACGCATTGTTACAAGCACAAATAATAATGAAAATAGTGGATCCTCAAGTTGCTGCTGTAATTATAAAAAAATAAAAGATTGTTATCATTATTGCTATATGAAAATATATTAGTCTTTAAAGTTGCTCTTCCCTGGGTGTTTTGCCTATTTAATTTAAAATTAAGTATTTAAGTTTATTGAACTCAAATTATATTATTTGACAGAGTATGTTACAATCTTCAAACCAAGTTCCAGCCACTTCAATACCCAACACTTCTGCGACTACAACAGCGACCGTCAATCCAATGCCTCATATGCCCAATAATGATAACAATGTATGGGCACAACCCAAGTCTTCAATTCCTCTAATGCCCCAGCCCCATGGTATGAAATTTGATTAGTGCTACCTACGAATAAACTATTTTGTGATTTTGTTTTTGGATGATTTAGTTGAAGACATGGACTTGAGACAAGTAAATTGTGGCCGTGTAATGGACCAAGATTTAAGACAACCTCCAATTCAAATACCAATCACTCAACCATTGCCATCAGTGCCAGTTGAATCTTCTGTTCCACCACCATTACCGTAAATCATATTAAAATTATAATAATATTATGATCTTTAAGTAATTGTCATGCAATATTTGTAGAGTGTCAAGAGACCCTCGTGCACCAGTATCAATGGATTCGGATATTCGAACTTACACAAGGGATCCCAGGGCAAACAATAGTAATGCAGCATCAACAGGAACACAAATGCCTTCTCAGGCTGTTCAGCAACCTGCTCGACCACAGGTTATGCAACAACCGCCCAAACCTGGAGCTTCTACAGATACAGAAAAGGTAATTTAAATTTGTAATCGCCGTACATAATACGTTACACAGTACACAATATTTAAATCAATTTGTGTTATATTTTAGGCTGCTTTAATCATGCAAGTGTTACAATTAACTGAGGAACAAATATCAAAACTGCCTGCAGAACAGCGAAAAAGCATACTTGTCTTGAAAGAGCAAATAGCCAAGTCCGCCCAGAGATAATTTAAGTTAAATAATATTTGAAAATACATTAAATTTTTTTTTTGATGTTTTAATTTTTTAAATATTTTAAATGAACGACAATGTACTAGTATTGTGTTATAATATTTGTCACCATTTATTTATTTAAAATAATACATATTTTGATGTTTATATACACAACTTCATCAACAGTTATTACTTATTATGAAATTGAGAAAGAAACAATATTATATTTTTACTTAACCAAGATGATAATTATTTGTTTTAAGTACTATTTTTTTTTTTTATAATTATTATTATTACTATAAGGAATTATTTGTATTGTTATCATTATTATGATTCATGACTATTAGTAATTAAAGGACTAGTACAGTAGTACTGAGCAATGAGTATTATTGTATACTAACTAATTTAATATTAAAATCAGGTCAATGCGTCAAGTTTCCGAGGTATAACAATATGCTGTACAAGTCAATAATATATTGAGCTTTAAGTCAGGAATCCCATGCGGCCATATATCACATATGGTACATATCACAGTGTTCCGATGAAATATTCTAAACAAGACTTGTTATGTATTTTGAATCATACATCCTTTTTGGCTGTATGCACTTTATTCCTTTAATTTTAGATTCTGAGCGGAGCGATGAATGTATTGGTTTTACAATGATGTATGTTTTTATATTTTTATATTTTTATTTATATTTTTATTTATATTTTTATTTATATTTTTATTTATATTTTTGTGTCTGTCATCACGTTTTGGGACAGTAAAAGTGCTTCGATTTTCTTCAATAGTACCTTTTCTGATAGGAAAGTGAATCTAGTTGGTACTTTGGGGGGTCAAAAGTAAACATTTTCCAGTGGTTTTCACAAGCGCCGGGAAAAACAACATAAAAATTAAGGAAAAACGGGAATTTTTACGCAAAATCGATTTTCCAAAAAATCGAATTTGGTTATTGGTGTAACTTTAAAACAAATGACCGTAGATACATGAAATTTTCACTGGTTGTTTATATTTGCATTTTCTATACACGATAACATTTTCAAAATATTTTGATTTATTTTGAACTGTTTAGGGACATTTTCATTTTTCATTTTATTTTAGTTTTTTTTCTAGAAATATCAATAAAATTTTATTTGTTGGTTGCGAAAGCTTGAAAATTTAATAGAAGGCTCCTAATATGTTGTTTCAAAGGCAGATGAAAAATATGAAAAATCCTTAGTCACAATTTTTTTTTATAAGCATTTAAAGTTCAAAAATTGACAAAATATGGAAAAATCACGAAAATTAGCAAATTATTTTGAGTTAAGAATTCGTAAAAATTTTTCTTTTTAAATCTAAGATTTGAAAATGAAACACAAGATTCCTTATAAGATTATCTACCTTTATCAATAAAAAAATCTCTACCGGACAGTCAAATTAAATTTTTATGAGCGTTTGAAATTCAAATTTTTACAACATTGGATTTTCACTCGATTTCTCATGTAGCGATTTCCTTATTTTGTTGTAATTCAAAAACGAATAACTGTAGATACATGAAAATTTCACTGAATGTTTATATTAGCATTTCATATACACCATACAATTTTGAAAATATTTTGACTCTTTTTGAGCTGTTTACGGACATTTTCAGTTTTCAATTTTTTTAGTTTTTTTTTTTATAATTGTCAATAAAATTTTATTTGGTGGGCCAAAAAGTCTGAAAATTTAATACAAGCTTTCTTATATATTGTTACAATATCAGTTGAAAAATTTTAAAAATACATAAACACGATTTTTTTTTATAAGCATTTAAAGTTGGAATTTTGACAAAATTTATCAAAATCTCGAAAATTATCAATCGTTGGAATTAAAAAATTATAAAATGTTCAGTTTTTATAACTAAGAGTTGAAAATTTAAAACAAAGATTCTCTTAAATAATTCATACTGTAACCAAAAAATCTAAAAAATATATAAACACACTTATTTTTTACAGACATTTTAATTTCAAATTTAGACAAAATTTCATATTTAAACCAAGAATTACGATTTTAGTTATTTTGTTGTGATTGTATAATATTATTCGTGGGTACTTGAAATTTCTAAAGTAATCTACTATATATATCTATGATAGTATCAGGGTTTGTTGTTGGTGTATAACGCGTTATAAGTACCTAATGGATATTGTGATATGATTAATTTGGAATTCATTATAGGTCAATTTTTTTTAATACCATAGATATGTATATAATATGTCTCATACCTAGAAGGACATACCGTCTCCGCTCAGAATCGTTTTTCTTATACAATGATATTATATCATTGAATTCAAATTTAATACCATCCATTATACATTGACCCACTTGTAACCTACTGTACAGCAGAGCGACACCCACTTGCCCACCTTTTTTTTATTGAATCTTAACAAATATTTATAAATCAAATAATTTATCTGCAAAATATTTTTAAAAATTGTATTTTAATTAAATGTTGGGAAAACCTTCTCACCTTAGGTATTTGTTTAATGGGATTCGATACCGTGATTTTCTGTTTTTGTCTAACACACGTGCGACATAGTATTTTAGATGTGTTTTTTGTCAAACATACCAATTGATCTAATGAAGCGATAAGAATTCTGAAAAAAGATTTGAATTTGTCGTCAAGTCTACTTGAAATCGACTTTCCCACATTTATGATATTATCCCCCAAATTTTTTAAAATGTCATATTCAAAAAGAGTATTTAAAAATTCTGATATTTCAATTTTTGGAGAAGTTAAAATCAAAAATGTGGGAAAGTCGATTTCAAGTAGACTTGACGACAAATTCAAATTTGTTTTCAGAAATCTTATCGCTTCAATAGATCGATTGGAATGTTTGGCAAAAAACACGTCTAAAATACTATGTCACGCGTGTGTTAGACAAAAACAGAAAATCATGGTATCGAATCCCCTTAACAGAAGTATTTTATATTTTGAATACAATATTATTATAGGTGATTATAAGTACTAGTATTAATTATCATAACTTATAAGGAAAGCCAATAATTTGTTTTTACTGTGTATTCATTCCAAGTATAAAACAGTTTATAATTTATTTCAAAATATCTTATAAGGATAAAAGAATGTTACCTCAAGGTCAAAAAAAAAATTGTATGTGTATATGAAAAGTTACATTATATTTTCTTTTTAATTATTTTAACAGAATATATCCATTTAGTTTTAAAACATTTTCAGGGTCAAAAAACTACTTAAAAAGTAAAAATTGTCCAATGTGATTGGTTAATAACTTTTACTAGTTTTGAGGGACTATGTCCTTACCCCCTCATCTGATTGTTCCCGCCTAAGTAAATTATAAATATGACTTAAAGTTTCCCGTATTTAACAGAGTTAGACGGATTTAATTGATTAACAAGTTTACTAGGTTATTATAGAGACAATTTTTAATATCTTTTTTTCAGCTGTGATATCTATGAATAAAAATATGATATTTTTTAATTATATTATATATCATAACACTAACAATATTTGAAATATTTAAAACCACCTATATTAAAATCTAGTAAACTTGTTAATCAATCATAATCTGTTTTCAAAATTAAAATCCATCAAACCAATTTCCTTCAGGTTTGCCTGGCTTTTTGGTCTAAAAGACACTTTTTTTTCAAATCTGCAGCCCTGTTAAATCAGGAAGTAATGAGATGCAATATGTGTATGAGAGCTGCGTGATCGTACCAAGTTATTTTGTACAGTGATTTTCATTATTCACTCAATAAATATCTCAAAGCAATAATTAAAAACTGATACTTGTATTATAAACAAAAAACATACATAAATTATTTCATTTTTATATAGTTATGCAAGTTAACCTATATAATTTATATATATATAAGTCATGAGTTGTAAGGTTAGTTCTCTTTTGATTCGTCTTTTTTTTCGTCTGGTTTTTTAATGAATTCATGGAACATCACATCACCAGTCATGAGTCCTTCTTCGACTTTGATCAACTAAACCAGTGTTAACATATTATTAATTGTAATTAACTATAGTTAAAAAAGAAAAAAAAACCCTGTTGTTATACTATGATTTTACCTGCAATGTGAGTCTTGGACCGAGTTCACTCATTCGTATGGAAGACTGAGTTCCTACTATATTGCCTCGACTGACCAATTTTTGAGGAACAACAACGTGAGAACTTGTAGTTTCTTCAAACTCACTATCTGACAATAGTTCTGGTCTACAAAATTAAGTGTATACATTTTAGGATATTAATCAATTTAATGCATTCTCATATCAATGTATTAAATATTGACTATTTACTTTAATAAAAATTCATCTATGTCATCAAAGTTAGATAGATCCGGTACTTTGCTCTGAACAATTTTCTTTACACCTTTAGATAAGCCAACTGGAACGGTTGTAATAGCATAATGTCTAAATTCAATCAATTTTGTTTCAGGGTTGTAGTTCATTAAAACACATCTTTTAATATCGTTCAAATTTACCTGTTTTTAATGTAAAAAAAAGTAATAAATATTTAATATTATAATACGTATGATCAATATTATTCTTACTTTTGTGACGTTAATAGTAGGGAACATGTTTTGAAACATAGTGGCCATCAGGTTGATATGTAGTCCTTCACCAGTAAAATTGTTCATAACAATCAATGGGGCATGACTAAACAATTTTGGATTTACCATTTGTTTGCGCAAAGACGACACAACATCTTTGCTTAACGCATAGTTTACAAGTTTAAATGTCATTGTTGGACCTTGGGGTAATCTGGCCACACGAAAATTAACTCCGGTATCTGAGCTTGTGAATACGCACAAATGCGACACATGCATAGGACCGGCTAAGGCCACAAAATCCTTAATTGTATTTTTCTTGTAAACCTGTTCAAAAAAAGAAAGTTTAACAATGAATCATAGTCTTGAGTATTAACTATTAGCCCTGGTACTGACTACTTAAGTTCAAATTAATAACTAGATTACTCAATTACTTGCAATGAAGCAGCAGTAAATGGTTCCATAACTTTTCGAAAATCTTTGACCAACTGCAATAGACTTTTTCCGATTTGTCCTCTATGTATAACAAATGAATGTGGAGCTCTTTTCAATTCTTCTGGTTCTTCATACACAGTTTTCTTCAACTTCTTCAAGCGTTTCTGTTTTCATCAAATTAACCAATCATTAATTAAATGTGTAAGACTATAAATTATAAGTTTCAACTTCATAATGACTTTTTAAAAACAAAGAAACTATTAAATTCTTCTTAAAAAAAAAAATGTTTGAAACTGTATTACAGTAAGTTAATACCTAATTTGCTTTAGCATCAAACCGTGTTTTCAAATGCCAATTAACAAACATACATTAATGGAAATAATGAATTACTTACATTTTTCTTTACGGTGGATTTGCGTTTGGAACCCATGTTAAAGGTATAGTAAAATTTTGATTGAATTAATATGTATTACTGTAGTATGTATTAAGTGAAGAATGATGTACTTAATACTTTAAGAGTCTTGTAGTTGTTACTGTAAGTTGTCTACTTGTTTGTATGTTTGCAGATTTTATCACAACACAGTAGTTGAACACACGTGTTTTTATGTTTGATAACGTTTATCTGAATCACGATGCCACAGAATTCTGAGCTTAAGCCGCGATAATGATATCTCGCTGTTATCAAAATCGGGAAACCTGTCATCAAGATCTATAAATAAGTTGGAAGATAAATTCTTCTCTGTATCTTTCTTTTTATTCTTCTTTATCTTTATAGATCTTGATCTGTCGTAGTCCCAGTACCATAGGCGCAATAACTTTTGTCTTGGGGGGGGGGGGCTGAATATATTAAAGAAAAGCAGACCATTGCAATATAGCATAGCACAAAAAATTTATGTCCTAGGTTTTTGGGGGGGCTACTGCTAAGTGTAGGGGGGTTTAGCATCCCCAAGCCCCCCAATTTGCCCAGTACTATCTTAAATCGTGGATAATACATAATGTATGAGGACGTCACACCCGCAGTGTTGACGTGTTGTACTGTTGTCTCCCTTTTACACACGTACTACCTACGTACGACATAGACAAAACGCGTTTACCCAGTCTGAATAGAACTCGCTCAATTTTGGTTCTAGAGTAAAAATACCTATTAAAAAAATTGAATTGTGACGATATACGTTAGATACGTTCTTTTTTAAAAATTTAAATTTTTAAAAGTTAAAGGTAGGTATTTTAAAAATGTTGAAATTTTCGCTATTTCTAAACGATATAATAACCGTTGTGTTGGGTATAATGGAAAAAAACGCAACGACTTATGTTACCAAAAAATCTAAAAATACAGAAGTACAGTTTATTTTTATAGTCATTTTAAGTTCAAATTTGGACGAAATTACATAATAAAAAAAAATTGTATGGTGTATAGAAAATGCTAATTTAAAGATTCAGTGAAATTTTCATGTATCTACAGTTGTTCGTTTTTGAATTGCAACAAAATAAGGAAATCGCTACATGAGAAATCGAGTGAAAATCCAATGTTGTAAAAATTTGAATTTCAAACGCTCATAAAAATTTAATTTGACCCTCTTATAGACATTTTTTTTTTTGATAAAGGGAGATAATCTTATAAGGAATCTTGTATTATATTTTCATATCTTAGATTTAAAAACAAAAATTTTTACGAATTCTTAACTCAAAATAATTTGATAATTTTCGTGATTTTTCCATATTTTGCCAATTTTTGAATTTTAAATTCTTATAAAAAAAAATTGTGACTAAGGATTTTTAATATTTTTCACTAGCCTTTGAAACAATATACTAGGAGCGTTCTATTAAATTTTCAAGCTTTCGCAGCCAACAAATAAAATTTTATTGATATTTTTAGAAAAAAAACTAAAAAAAATGGAAAATGAAAATGTCCCTAAACAGTTCAAAATAAATCAAAATATTTTGAAAATGTTATCGCGTATATAAAATGCAAATATAAACAACCAGTGAACATTTCATGTATATACGTTCATTTCTTTTAGAGTTACACCAAAAACCAAAATCTATTTTTTGGAAAACCAATTTTGGGTAAAAATTCCCGTTTTTCCTTAATTTTTATGTTGTTTTTCCCGGCGCTTGTGAAAACTACTAGGAAATTTATACTTTTGACCCCCCAAAGTACCAACTAGATTCACTTTCCTATCAGAAAAGCTACTGATGAAGAAAATCCAAGCACTTTTACTGTCCTAAAACGTGATGACAGACACAAAAATAAAAAAAAATAAAAAAAAACACACATCATTGTAAAATCATACATTCATCGTTTCACTCAGAATCTAAAACACACATTATTGTAAAATCAATACATTCATCGTTTCACTCAGAATCTAAAAAGTTCAAATGGCAGTAATCAGTAGTGGATCCAGAAGTCACCCAAAGGAGGAGAAGGGCAATTTACGAAACTTAAATTAACTTTTTTACGATTTGCATCATCACTCCCTTGTATCCACCACTGGCAATAGTTTAAAAAAAAACACAAAATAGAATTAATTCTTTAAAATGTAAAAATATACAATTTAATTAAAATATAAATAATACAATAAAAAAAATATTATTTTCATTTCTTACTTATTGTTTCAATTATAACTAAAATAATTAAAAAATAAAAATAAGTTATAGTAATCAACAGTTTTAAAATCATTTTTTAATAAATAATACAAAAATCTCAATATAAAAAATATTATATAAGCTTGAAAAATTAACAATATGAATACAATTATTATGAAAAACTCACTAATTTATTTATTGTTTATCTTTAATTTTCGCCAAAAGCTGTTCACACGTTGTTTTAGCATCTCCTAATAACATATTTGTATTTGGCTTGTAAAATATTGGATTTTCAACAGCTGCATATCCAAAACCCAAGGATCGCTTCATTACAATGACCTAAATTAAAAAAAAATTAGACTTGAGTACCTACCAAAAACTGGTAAATTTTTTATTATCTCTAAATTTCACCTGATTTGCATTCCAAACTTTTAACACTGGCATTCCAGCAATCACAGAATTTGGATCATCTTCAGCACCAGAATTAACTATATCATTAGCACCAACTACTAACACTAAATCAGTTTTATTAAAATCATCATTAATTTCGTCCATTTCTAACATATCTTCATAAGGAATTCCAGCCTCTGCCAACAAAACATTTAACTGACCTGGCATGCGACCTAAGATAAATACATTCAATAATAAGTATCATTTTTTTATGATTAGTATCAATAGTCATCTAATAAAGCCAAACAAACAAAATACCTGCTACGGGGTGAATGCCAAAACGGACAGTTTTTCCACTTTTCTTTAAAATTGAAACCATATCGGCCAATGGATATTGTGCTTTAGCAACACATAACCCATAACCTGTGAAACGTTTGATTAGAATTTTATTAATGTATAAAAAAGGAATTTCTTTGAATAAATTTAGACTTTTTAAATTTATTTTATTAGTTGACTTTTGTTGTACCTACATTGGTTAAGTCACTAGGTTTTACTCACTAGAGTAGTATGGATGTTATTAATTTCAAAAGAGCTGAGGACTTATAATATTTTAAAAATGATTCTTGTTAGATTTTATAATTTTAAAAAATAAGCTTGCAAATTTTGAATTAATATAATTCAAAAATTTAAAATAAAAATATTTAACATAATAAAACAAAAGCTTCTTTATTTCTGTTAAATATCTATTGTATTATAAATTATAATATAGGTACCTCATATAATACCTAATTAAATATATAGTTTCTCATTATATATGAGTCATGAGATATAACACACAAAGTACATTGTATACAATATATTGTCAATTATCACAGAATATTTCAACAAAACACATGAGGACTAAATTGAAAAACATCACAATAATAATATTAGCTAAGTATGAAACATTTTTCAAACATTTTTTTCATCTTACCTGGTGTGATAATAATATTTTGTGAATTGATCAAGAGGTCAGCTACCTGATCAACATTTGTTTCTGAGTGTGTTCCAGATATTGTTTCTTGTGTAGTGGACTTAACAGGTTTATTACCAAAGCCACCAAGTATAACACTAGTCAGTGAGCGATTCATTGCCTTAAAGTAAGTAATTAAACATATTTGTATATTAATCAATCTTTAAATAGGTACTCAATAATTGTAAGATTCAAGCTTCGAAACTACTCCTATGCAGAATAACTTATTCCTAACCTTACACATGATGTAAGACAAGATAGCACCAGAGGATCCAATTAGAGCCCCTACAATTGTCATCAAGTTATTATTTAACATAAACCCTTCAGCACACAACGCCCATCCTGAATAACTATTTAACACTGTGATCACAACTGGCATATCAGCACCTATAAAATTATACAATAAATATACTTTAAATTTTCTATACCTATTGTTGTTATTATAATCCTAATTTCACCCAGTGGATTCAAATACCAAATAAGTACCTTACCTTATTTCATTTTGTTATATCGTAATGTTCACAACCATCTTTTTTTTGTCAATATATATCTATTGCCATTATGGTATTTTGGCCAATATCTCAATAATAAAAAAAATGCTTATAAGTATAAATAAAATAGTTACCTCCAATAGATGAGGTTAGTGACAGCCCTAAAGCTGCTGAAAAGGCAGTAGCAGACGATAATGATGCCAATCCTCCAAACATTGATGGGTCATAATAAAAGTATGCCATAGAAGCTAAGTTTCCGGCAAGAAGGCCCATATTTATTGTGTGTCTTCCCGGAAGCAATAACGGTGTTGAGGCCAAAATACCTTGTAGTTTTCCATAAGCGATTAATGACCCACTAAATGTAATGCCACCAATTGACGAACCTAAGAATAATGATGTCTTTATAACATTTGCGGTTGGGTCAGTTGCAAATAATGGGAAATCGTGCATGAATGTTGCTAAACAAGTTAACACTGCTGCTAAACCAACAAGACTAAAAATAAAAGTTATATTAAGTTATGCACAAAACAAATTTGAAAATTTATTTTGTCCTAGTAGTATACCTATGGAATCCCGCAACAAGTTGAGGTAGATCAGTAATTTGAATTCGTTTTGCTACAATTGAACCAATTGCACCTCCAAGGCCAGTACACAATATCATTTGAGTTAAAACTTCTGTGGATGGTGCAATATATCCAAGTGTTGAGGCAATTCCACCACTGACTCCGATCTGTAACAAATTTAAATGACAAATGCCTATTATATTGTATTATTGTTAGAATAATGTTTTAAAATACTGACTATTCCTAGATTATTTCCAAAGCGAGCTGTTTTTTGTGAACTCAAAGAAGCAATTGCACCAATACAACATAAAGATGATCCCAATGCTGCAAAATTATGTATTTCTGGTAAACCATTCATAATGCCCCATGTATAACCACCAAAGAATAC